CCCGGGACGCCAGACACAGTAGAACGGCAGGCCTCGGCCGGGTCACGCGCCCCTGCCCTCGGGCTGCCCCTAGGCCCGGTGCGGGGCGCGACGGTGGCGGGGCTGCCTGTACCCTCGAAGCGGGCAGCCGTGGCGCGGGGAGCGGCGGGGCAGCGGTGCGGGACCTGGCGACGGGCGGGACCCGAGGGTGTGGGGGGTCTTAGGCGGCGAAGTGAGGTGGGCGGGGTTTGGGCGCGAGGGTAGCCGCGAGAGCTTGCCCCCCAGCCCCCTACTTCCTTTTCACCCCCAGCGAGCGACTGGATCCCAAGCAGCGCCCGCCGGCTGCGCCAGCGCCTCAGAGTTCCCCCGGCCCCCGGAGACCGAGAGCGGCCCTCAGCGACTCGGATTGCCAAAGAGACGGCGGAGGAGCGGCTCGACGGGCCGGCACCGTAGCCCCCCAAGGCGCCCGGCGCTTCCCCGCTCGGGACGCTGCCCGGCGCTCGGCCGTGGCGCCGCCGCCGGCGGGCGGCCGAGAGCCCCGCCGTACGCCCGCCCTCCGCCGCGGCCGGCGCCGCACACGCCGCCGGACCGCACCCGCTAGCTGCCCGCCGCCACCGCGCGCCCCCGTCATCCACTCGCCGCAGCAGGCGGCCCTCGCCAGCCCAAGCCTCTGTCGCTGGCGAGATCGCCACCTCGGCGCGGACAAGCGAAGGAAGCCGCGCGGCGAGGCGCGTCCCACCCGGCACCGCCGTGCTGGGCGGTGGCGGCCCGTCGCGTTCGCCGCCGCGGCCGCGCTCGCCGCGCCGCGCATGTTGCCCCTTCCCCAACGGCGGCGGTCTTGCCCCGGCCGCATCTACTACACGGCGCCCTTCTACCCCGGCTACACGAACTACTGCTCCTTCGGGCGCCCTGCACGGGCACCCCGCCGGCGCCCCGCCGCCGCCGCCCCCGGCGCCCACTTCAATGGATTAAACCAGACTGTCCTCAGCAGAGCCGAGAGCCTGGCTAAAGACACTAAAATGATCAGGAGCCAGTCCCAAGTAGACCTTTGCAAAGACTCACCTTACGAACTGAAGAAAGGTATGTCCAACATTTAATATCGGCTTCTCCTCCCTAACCCCTCCTGGGACTGTGGTTTTGTTCTTTTTTTTTTTTTTTTAATTTATTTGAAAGAAATAATAAATTGCTTTGGCAGTTATTTTTTCACTACCAAAAGAAAAACAAAACAAAACAAGCAGAAAAAGACCAGCTCCCCCCCTCTCTCCCAGCACCCTCTTCAAAAGTTTATAGAGTCTATTGGAAATGACTGGGTGGAAACCGCCCAGAAATGTCTTAAGCAAGTGAAAAGCAAAGGAGTGACACGCTCTCTCTCACACACACAAAGAAGAAAGATTTGTATTAAATCTTATTCTGTATATTTAATGTAGCTTTTTTGTATTTAAATTGATAATACAGTATCTTTGAAGTAAATTATGAAATCAAGACACCTGTACAGGCATTAATGTTGTTTTCGTAATATAAATATATACATTTCTGTGTCTTTTTCCGAATTGTTTCATAGTTTTAAAATATATATATACAAGTTTAATTTAATTTTTTTATGCCTATTGTTTTTTTTCCCTTGGGTGTGAGTTAAACCATAATGCAAAAACAGGACAAAAAAAAGGAAATAGGTTATACGTATTAGATACAAAAAACTGCAGCCGCCTTTGTAAAATGCAAATATTTAATTAAAAGAGATTTTTAACAGAATCAAAACCACTCTCTTTTTGCAACGGGCATATACGTGCATAGCTGAGAAAAAAACAAATACATGCGTTAAAAGAGACGCGGGGCTCCATTTAGGACCTCACAGTAGTACCTGAAGTGTTTTTCGAAGTGACAGGCAATTTCTAAAAGGTCGGGGGGCTCCGGAGACGAGAGCCGC